CATCTCTTGTATTTGCAGATGCTTACATGGAGGGTACAATCATAAATATGTATAAGGACAGTCCCTTAGCTCTAGTCCACCCACACAACACTTATCGAAGCAATGAACGGTAACTTGTTGAATCTTGGTGCAGGTAACTTGATGAGATTCTCGTGTGTCGTCAAGAGCATTTTACCTATTATAAGAAACATCACCAGTTTTTCCACAACATACAATATAAGGATTGGTCCACTTGTTGCATGCTACTACTTTTATTACTATTTATCTTATTACAAATTACCTTGCTATTCAACAATCTATCAAACTATCTTACATCATTTACACCGAAACCTTGCTGAAAATTACTTGTCAATTGCCTCTACTTCTCCTTGGGTTCTATACTCTTACTTTTTTAAATGGGTATTATAGATTACATATACTTGTACATCATTAATTTCCTCTGTAATGAACCCAACCTTGGCCTTTTCATCATGGTTGGTTCTAGGTTGCTCCAAAACACCTATAGACATGATAAAACATCGAAAACTAATAAAAATTGAATAAAACCACAAATATGCAATGCTCACAGTGAAAATAGTAAAAATATGTATTCATGAGTAATGGACATATATTTGGTTCAACGGGACATGATACATGGATAGAACATGCAATAGATGAGCTCTAAAATGCCTAAAATATAGAGCCACCGGGCTACTATCGGCGAATACGCAGGGAGATGTCGGAGAATCGTGCCATCCCAGAGGAGAGGAGGTCCTCGCACCACATCCATTAGAGAGAAAGCAGGACGACCTCGCAAACCATGGAGGCGACGGGGAGGAGGGCCTCGCCGCACCGAAGGAGCTAAGATACAACGCGGTCGTGGTTTCCATTCGCCTAATCCGTCCCACGATTCTACCGTGAAGATACACATAAATACTCAGAAGTTGGAATGAGGCTTTCACTTTTTTCCTGTGAATAGAATGAGGCTTTCATTAATAGTAATTGTTTCAAATATGCACGGGGGTACATGGTTCTGCAGGTTCTAGTAATTCTCTCACTAGTCCAGATCACACACATCCGATATAGTACATGGTTGTGCAAGTTCAGATCACACACACACACGGGGTTGTGCTTCAACCCGGTGCATTTACAATATTAGTTAGGGTGGTGCAATTTGGTTAACTGATTATATGTGGAAATGATTGTGCTTTATTGAGCTACTCACAACCCCCGCCTCCGGTACTTGTGATGATGATATTCTTTATGGTGGAAATTTGTTCTAGTATCTAGGTGTTGGTTACATGGTACTTCGGGCGTTAACTATAGTTTTTTAGGGTATTTGGGGGCCAAGTATAGTATTTTGTGGCCTAAGTGTACACATGAAATTGCCTATTACGTAACATAATTGGATGATTGCTCATTGGTAGTGCTTGTTGGTACAAAATTCGAATGATATATCATCGCAAAAAAAAATCGAATGATATGCTTTACACTGTCAATGTCAAGTGCTTGAAATTTTTGGTATAATGCTATAGAGTTGTATGAATGCCAAATGCTCACGAATTTGTTATTTCATTCATATTTTCAGTGTTTTTCAAAAAACCAGTGATACGCTACAGATTGTACAGTGCTTGCGTGAACGCTGAGCGTTGGATGTAGAATGAGTGGCTGATATTGGAGGGGAAGGCGCTGCGTGAGTGACTTCACCTCGCAAAGTCACTGAACCTGCGTCCGCGATGGATACCTCTTGCTGATCCCGCATCCCTACACCCCCAAACCGCTTGCCCCTTTCCCTGGAGCGAATCTCACCTCCCGAACCAACTCGGGCTCGCCGGCGGCTGAGAGATGGAGCTGTCGTCTGCTTTCGAGGAGCGTGTCCGGCAGATGGAGGACGCGCGCAACCACTGCATGTCCCGCCTCCAAGCCGAGAAGGAGATCCTGGCCGCCAAGTCCCGCCTCCTCGCCGCCAAGGTCGCCGCCGCCCGCCGCCTGGAGCGCCGCCGCCTCCTCCTCGAGCGCCGCTCCGCGGATCTCGCCTCCCGCGCCCTCGCCGCCCGCGCCGGCATCGAGGCCACCCACGCGCGCCGCCTCGCCGTCGCCCGCGACATCAGCTCGACCAACGGCGAGATCGAGGAGGCGCAGCGGAAGGCAGAGGAATGGGACCGCTTCTACGAGTCCAAGAGGAAGGAGATGGAGGAGTTCCGGGCAATGTCGCAGCAGTTCGAGGCGGGGACTCGTCAGGAAGTGCAGAGGCTCAAGGCCTCTGTGTCTCAACTGCAGGCAGCCCTGCAGGAGCTGCAGAGCAGCGGGTTGCACTCGGACGACGCCGGGATCGGGGCTGCGGAAGCCAGGAAGGCCGACCTCATGGCTAAGAAGGCGAAGCTGGACGAGACCCTGGCTGCAGCCCGCCAGTTCAGAGCACTGCTTCGGCAGCAGCTCCAGAAAGCCTTCGCGTCACAGGTTAGGGATCAAAAGGCAGCACAAAACTGACTAGTGTATGTGGTACAAGCAAAACGACCTTCATTAGCTAGCTCAATCTCTACGGATTAAGGATGCAAGTGTCGCGGGCTAGCGGACAATAACATGGAACAAATGTAGTGTTAATTCTAGGCAAATGTTGGGCAAATTTTGAACTAATGGATGAGTTTCGTGGGAGGACGCGGTCTGCCACTTGCACCCTTACTACAGATGAAACGAACTTTAAATGTCTGCAGGCAGATACATGCTTTTTATTTCAGTCTTGTTTAGAACACCGAAATTCTCCGGATTCCAATCTTTGCCACTCGCTGTGCCAGCGGCGTGTGGGTCTGAGACCAAATATTTTAGATACATGTTGTAATTCAAATGCTAGATGATCAACTGCTAACCCATCCTTGAGGCCACAGCAGCTTAGTGCTTCCTCGGCTTCTCTCTCTAGACTGGATGGTGTAATAGCAAGATGTTTTCCTTGTTGCATTGGTTCTTCTTGTTCTTACTTCCCTTGTCCTGGCATATGTAGGACAGGTTGTTTTCCCCATTGCAAACCAAAAGTCGTCTGAATTCTGAACATATCTTATTTTCATCAATTCCAAGTAAGTTGGATGTGCCTGAACATACGTAGCTAGTGCTGCCATTTTCTTCTTAATGAACCCCATTGGAGGTTCTCCCCTATGCTTTTGTGAATATTCTATTTGTGATTACATACATTGGGTTTTCTCTTTTTAATTGGCTTGCATAATGAATTACACCAGGGTTATTTACTCTTGACTTATTATGATGTATTCTCTATGCAGGGAATGCTTTCTGGCTTATTTTCTTTCTTGCTAATTTAGTTGCACTTATTGCCAGTAGAACAATGACAATTGCTATATTTCAATACCTAAATCAGTCCATTGGTTGCATTCCTCGCCTCAAAATTGTTAATACGTCTTGAAATTTTATGGCCAATATATGCATTCCAGTCATAAACTGGTTTCTGTTGGTTTCGTGTTTGTACTTTATTGTGCTCTTTAGAAGCAATGTCAGCAATGCATACGGCAAATAATATTTTACTGCATATGCTAATATTTCACTTTATCGTGCTCTTCAGAAGCAAATCTTGAACAGCTTGGGGTGATGATAATGGCGATGATGTATGTTAATTACAATCCTAACACTTTATAAGGGAGAGAAGTTTTTTTAACTTCAACTTTTCCAATACAACCATTGGATCCATCATGAGTCGATGGTACATTTAGCTAAGAGTCCATAACTTTGATTTAGGCTGTTGCTAATATGGATATGTTTATTTCTTGGTGGAAAGAAGGTAATTGAACAGCGCATCTACAATAGGTGGTATCTCCAAGTGAAACAACTATGCGAGGGAGTGGTCAATCGATGACGGTCGCTGGACATGGCGGCCTGCTTGATTGAGTTATTAGATCATATTGTTGCATTTCGGCATGACATTATGTGAAATAGAGAGCATGTCATTTGCTCACTGTATTGTTTTTCTGAAATTGGAGAAAGAAAGGTCCCCAGGGTGGCCTAACCAAACATGACGGCCGGTCCGTTAAAGCATGATTTGCTAATTTGTGGGCCTCTACATTCGAAGTTCTAAACTCATGTGATATAATACAAGAACTAAAAACTCTAGACGAATGCTCAATTTCGAGCACTACTGCCCCCATATGAAGATGAGGTTCCCTTTCTTATTGCCTCCACAGCATTTTTCCAATCCGAAGCAACCGAGATTCTGTGAATATATAGATCATTCGCTAGAGCAAGAGCTTCTCTGATGGCTAATTAAGACCTCGAGTACGTCTGGATCTCCAATGTGTCTGATCACTATCGATGAAGCTCCTAGAAAACTTCCTGATGCGTCGCGGCAGATTGCCCCAACAGCACCAAAACGTTCAGATCATGCCACTGCTGCATCCACGTTGATCTTCGCATGGCCTTCCTGTGGGGGAATCAATCCAGTCGGATGAGGTTGAGCTGGCATCCGTCCTCTTGATATAGCCTTAGCCAGGCATTGTATGTCAGCAAGGAATCTGTCAACAAAGGCATGTGTTGCGAACGGAGTTTGCAGGATTCCTTCGTGGATGATTTTCCTTCTTGCAAACACTAATCCACATAGACGCATAATAAGTTTCGGTGTGGTTAGTGGTTGTAGCAGTTTTCCACATATTTAATCATACATATGCTTACACAAACTAAAATTACGTGAGAAAATTAAGAAAAGACTATATATAAGTAGCTCCGTGCGTCGTGCGATGCGAGATGATGATGAGTCCGTACGTGCGTGGCTAGTCGACACGCTGACCGGGCGCTTTGTGCTTGGGACCTAGCTAGGGCCGTGTTGGGCTGTTGTACTTGTATTCCAGGCCTAGTACAAAACCTCCTAAGATCTATGGATATCGATTCCCTACAAAAGGAAAAAGTGGAGATCGATTCCCTACCTAAAAAGAAGTGGAGATCGACATACGGAGATCGATTCCCTACAAAAAAAAAAGTGGAGATCAATATCCTTCTCGATTTCTTTTTCCGGGAAGCTCTTCATCATGCCGGCATCGGCGGCGGAGGCCACGATAACCAGCAAGACCTCCTCAACGGTGGTCGTCCACACCGGCGAGCATCTGTTCAAGGTCGTCGGCCACTCCCTGGTCACAGGAAGCAACACCATCCTCACCTCCGAGACCTTCCGCGCCGGCGGCCACGACTGGGCTACCGCCTACCACCCAAACGGCCGCGTCCCGAGGGTTGATGAGCAGTTGACGTCTGTGTTCCTCAAGCTGATAAGCCCCGGCCATGGTGAGGTCAGGGCGTCCTACTCCTTCTGCCTCCAGGATCCTGAATCGCCATCGACCAACAGATTTATTTTTGGCAAAACATCATGTAAGTTCTTGTTCGGGGGTAAGGGTTTGGGCACCAGCAGCTTTGTGAGCAAAGCCGATTTGACCGCATCCGGGTGCCTCAAGGATGACTGCCTGGTGATCAAGTGCACCGTTGAAGTCTACAAAGTCATCTCTGAGGATAAAGATAACGGTAACATCACCGTGCCGCCCTCCAACTTGAGCATAGATCTCAGCGATATTCTAGAGAGCGGCCTGAAGGCAGATCTCACTGTCAAGATCGGTTCGTCCAAGAGTTTCAAGGTGCATGCGTGCGTGCTGAGTGCGCGGTCACCGGTCTTCCGCGCACAACTATGCGGCTCCATGATGGAAAGCAGGCATAGCAGCATCTGCATCGAGGGTATGGATGATAAGGTTTTCGGGGTCTTGCTGCACTACATGTACAAGGACTCCCTGCCGGCATTCATGGAGGAGACCACGGAAGAGGCGACAAACATGGCGCAACATTTACTCGTCGCAGCTGATCGATATGCGGTAGAAAGACTGAAACTGATGTGCGAGAGCAAGCTGAGCAAGGCGCTGGATGTCAAGACCGCGGGCTTCACTTTGGATCTGGCTGAGCGGTACAATTGTCAACAGCTCAAGGGTTGCTGTCTCAAGTATATGGCAAGAGACTTTGAGAGGTTGCGAGACATAAAACGAAGCGAAGGATTTGAGCAATTGAAGAAGAACCATCCACTTGTCGTGTGTGATATTTTCGATGAAGTTATTGAGAAACTGAATCGACAGGTTGTAATTACTTTTCCTTCGTGATCTGCAAAAAGTGACACTACAATTTTTTAGAAGAGATTGGCGATTAGTCTATTTCAACACATTCATATGAATCATATCTCATCAACTTGGTTTTCCTTTCTTATTCCCTCTCTTCCAACATTCTTGAAGTCATAGATACGCCCTAAGTCAAACATTTTTAAGTTTGGCCAAGTCTATTGGAAAATGTATCAATATCTACAACGCCAACATAGTTTCATTAGATTTATCATATTACATATAGATGCTTATATACATGATCAAGCTTACAGAAATTTGACCTAGCACAAACCTTAAACTTCAAAGTATTTTGGAAGGAGTACCTGATTGACATATTTATTTTACTATGTGCTTGCACTCCATGGCTAAAGACAAACTCTTCATAGTTAATCCTATTCTATTTTCCTCATCCTATTATACAACATTATATTATTATACTACGCCTTTCTTTGTACATTAAGCATTCATGCAAACTTAAGTGGCAAATTCTATGGATGAAGCACTAGTAGAGAGAACACGACTTTAGAGGCGGTTTGCTAGATAGCTTCTAGGCGGTCTCACTTACCATATCTAGCCAACAGTCGCTAATACTCATAATACCATGCCCGCACTACTAGAGAAAACCTTACTAGTGGCGCTGACTTTTTACATGCCAGTAGTGTGCGTGCCCCGCGCTATTGCTAGAGCGCTACAACTATTAATTAACAGTAGCGCGCTTCTAAACCAACGCTGCAGCTAAGATACTTAGTAGTAGGTTCTGTTTGTAGCGCCTATTTTCTCCCCACGCTACAACTAGGCAAATCGAAATAATAAAGAAAATGTCAGATGCAATATTCATGGAAATCAAGACAAGTCCAGTGTAAATAAACTAAGTTCACAGAACCATCTCACAAACATTAATGACTAAGTTCACAGAACCATCTCACAAACATTAATGACAATACCACATTTAATATAACCACACAATCTTACAAACCCATATATAGTAGTCAACAATGCATGGATAAATCATAGTTGATAAGTCTACTAGGCAGTCCTACTGTAACATTCCAAATTATACACTAGATCATCTTTGCATATCATATTTCATTGCTTTTGGCCTGATCCAGAAATTCTACGCACCTCAAGGACCCACGGAGAGAGTTGGGGATTCCGTTATTCTCATATTTGAGTTTCTCAAATTTTGAAAATAGGATCATTTGATTTTATTTATTTTATCTTCAATTATTTCTATTATAAAAATCTGAGAGGGGGAATAAAATGACTTTCCCAAAAATAAAGAGATATTGAGGATTTAATAAAAAAATTCAAATAAGATTTTATTTCGGAGTTTTTGGCTATTTTATTTGAATTTAGGAAAATTGCACATTTTTCAAAACTGCATTTTAGGGCCAAGAAAATGTTCATCTCGATCTAAATATTTTATTTGGACGGTGAAATTTTTTTTTGGCATTTTTATAATTTTATTTTATTTTCTAGGATTTTTCTTAGTTTCGGCGGCATTGTTTAAAAAAAATACCGCGCGCCCGACTGGGCCGAAGGCCCAGCCGAGCCGGCCCAGCGCAACCGCCGTCTCCCACTCCGGATCGGGACCGGAGTCCCGATCGCCGCCGCCGCCCGAGTCCGGGAGGGCCACGCCTCCCCGCCCCCTCCCGCAAGCCATCGCCCCCTCCATAAATACCGCCGCCGCCGCCCTCCTCACCCACCACCCCGACCCGCCCCGCCTCTGATGTAGGGTGGAACCCTATGGGGAGATCTTTCACGAATTGAAGGGGGGATCCCCAAGAACAAGATGAACACAAGGAACACAAGAGATGGGAAATACTCAAATTGACTAGATCCAATCACACATATGCTAGATCCAAGAACATACAAGAGATACAATGATCCAAGAGCAACAAAGGAAAGATACAAAGTACTAATTCATCCCAATCCTATGAGGAGAGAGGTCTTGATGAATGTCATCTCCAAGAGGAGGTCTTGATATCCACAAGTGGATCTTCTCACATGGAGGCCTTGAACTCCATGGGAGTGGTCTCTTTCTCTCAAGAGGAGAAGGTAGGAGCAAAGCTCACCTAAGAATGAGCTATCCTATTTTCTAAGTCTAAATGGAGGAGGGAGAGGGATATATATAGGTAGGTGGAGGAAGGGGACGAAGTGGAGGCCCAATAGGTGACTCTCGGCCATCCATCCTGATGAGCCCGTGCGCACGGGGTAAGTTGGGCCCGTGCGCACGGGGTGCTCCGGCACCAGCTCTCTGAGTAGTCCGTGCGCACGGGGTCTTCGAGGCCCGTGGGCACGGGGTCGCCTGGGAGGTGCTGAATTGATCTTGTTGCACTCCTTCCTCCTTGTGGCCTTGTGGTCCTTCTCCAACTCCTTTGGGGTGTCCCTCACCAGCTTGTGGTCGTCGGTTTTCGTATCTAAGGACACACAAAGCACTTTGGTGAGGTAGCAAGCAAGTCCAATGGATATTCATGATATTCTCAAAGAAGAGCGGGTTCACCTTAATTCCAATGGCGTATGTTCGAGGTCTCGTCATATGTCCTCTTGGGGTTTGGAGAGTAGTCGGAGTGTACATGGGGATGAACGAGGGATGCTCCGCATCATCTCCCCCCCCCCTTGGGAAAGATCCGACCTCAGATCGTGATCCTCATCACTATGGAAACGGTTGTCATAGACGGACTTGTAGTTGGACGAAGTTGAAGACATGGCGCAATCCAAGTAGTCCAAGGTGTCACCGGAGTGATAGACATGCAAAAAGAGCAAACACAAGCAACACTCGAAAATACAATGGTTAGCGCACACAAAGTGTCCATCATGTAAGAATGAGTCCGTGCGGCAAGATTGGTCGTGACAAAGTGCATGAAGCTTATCAAGATGATCTAGAATGAGATGCAAAGCATTCATGGGAGGAAATGCAATCATGGTGCACACAAATGTGTTGTGAATATGATCAATGCAACCACGGTGCAAAATAATGTCATGGTGAGACGGTTTATCAATAGCATGAATATGGCAATGGATGCTCAATATGTGTAAGCTATCATGCAATTGATGGTGGACAATATGATAATGATGTATGAATATGCCATAAAGGTAGATCACAACAAATTTGCTAAGGAAATGCACAAGGTCATATATCATGGATGACATGGGAATACAAGATTTAACAAGGCAATCATAATGTGAGTCAATCCATGCATGGGGTGCAAACTTGTGGTGAGTATGATATGTCCATCGAGCATGACATGTATGAGCACAATCAATAAATATGGAGGTGTTGGTGTACCAAAGCTCGATGTCGAGGCATGAGTGGAGTTCCGAAGGTGCATCCAATAAGTGCGAGCGCTCCTCAATGTGAAGGTCCATATAGCCAATCTCCAATCTCGCTCCTCCGTTCACGAGATGTATCATGGAGACAACAAGAAGGAAACAACAATGAAAGAGTGACCCATCCAATATGCGTATTTGAGGATGGCTCAAAGAGAAGGAGTTCACCTCAAGAAAGTTCCCAAAGATGTTGGAGTCGTACATCATGTATGCCTTCACATAACCAATATGTCGCATAACGACGCCGCCTTGTGAATCCTCCAAAATGAAAGAACATGATAAACACTCGGAAAAACAAATGAGGTTAGCGGAAATGCAAAACCTATCATTCGTGTGGTAAGATACCCAACAAGTGTATGCATCAAGCTCATCATAAGAAGGTACAAGGGAGCATTTCATAGTATGGAGACATATGATGCAAGAACAACCAAATACAAGATGCTCAAGTAAAGAAGCATGCATCACAAGTAAGGTGTCAAAGTCTCCATGATCAATAAGCATAGCAAGTTGGCAATCAATACAAGGTGATATGAGAGATGCAACTAATGGAGACAAGAGACAATGATCATGACAAATCAAGTGAGAGGCATGGACATATATGCCATCAACCCAAGAAAGCAAGTAATAGTGGAACATGGGTGATGCAACATAGCAAGCAATCATAGCGATCAAGTCAAGCATGCTAGTAGTGCGAAGATGCAACATACTAGAAGGAATCATGGCAAGCATGTCATGTGTTCAAATAGTGGGCATGAATAATGCACATGACATATCACAAGCATGCAAGCAAGATATGAGTAGAATGGCATGAATGTATTGGCGAGAGGCCATATGTGAATAGCAATGGAGCATCATTACTCTCCCAACACAACAAGCATCAATAGCATGGGGCACATGATAAACATGGCAAAAGCAACAAGGATCTCCACCAAGCATGCAAATACACATAGGAATATCATAATGGTGAATCATGGGTAGATGCAAACAAGGGTCACAATTGCATGGCAAAGGCATAGAAACAAGGAATACATGCAAGTGAACACGGGAAAATGAGCATAAGGTGACAAGTGGTAAATAGCCCATAGCCGTGTGAGAGACAAGTAAAAGAGATGCGCGTAGTCCTTGCGCGAAGGGAACGGTGGTAAGGATAGTCCACGGGATCCCAAAGCATCGTTGCTCTCAAGAGCTCGTTTCGTCAACTCCTGGGATTGAGAGGTTGACAAGTATACATGAGTACATACACAAAACAAATACAAAAGAAAAATTGTGTGTGCATGGTAGATGTACACATCATCCATCATTGATGCGCACGTGCATGTGTCGGTGAGCACAAAATAGCCAATGCTCAAATAAATGAGATGCATGATATAGAAACATGTCATCCATCATGAGAGGTTTGTTATTATGTATAGCATAATGGAGACTCAAATTGTGTAATGCATCACGAACAATATCTAGAGCATTGTTATTCATGGAATGCATATGGTGTACACTATCATGGGAATCATGCAAAGTATGAAATGCATCAAGATCTCCTAATATGTATGAGGAAACTATGGGGGTCTCCTCATGACCAATAGTGGAAACATCACATGGAGAATATTGACAACATCCGAAACAATGCATATTTGGAACAATGTGATCATGGCATGACCACTACTGGAAACAGGGAA